TAGCATAGATAAATGGGACCTCATAAAACTAAAAAGCTTCTGTTCATCAAAAGAAATGGTCTCTAAACTGAAGAGAACACCCACAGAGTGGGAGAAAATATTTGCCAACTATACATCAGACAAAGGACTGATAACCAGAATATACAGGGAACTTAAAAAACTAAATTCTCCCAAAACTAATGAACCAATAAAGAAATGGGCAAGTGAACTAAACAGAACTTTCTCAAAAGAAGAAATTCAAATGGCCAAAACACATGAAAAAATGCTCACCATCTCTAGCAATAAAGGAAATGCAAATTAAAACCACACTAAGATTCCACCTCACCCTGTTAGAATAGCCATCATCAGCAACACCACCAACAACAGGTGTTGGCGAGGATGCGGGGAAAAAGGAACCCTCTTACACTGTTGGTGGGAATGTAGACTAGTACAACCACTCTGGAAAAAAATTTGGAGGCTACTTAAAAAGCTGGACATCGATCTACCATTTGATCCAGCAATACCACTCTTGGGGATATACCCAAAAGACTGTGACACAGGTTACTCCAGAGGCACCTGCACACCCATGTTTATTGCGGCACTATTCACAATAGCCAAGTTATGGAAACAGCCAAGATGCCCCAGCACTGACGAATGGATTAAGAAAATGTGGTATCTATACACAATGGAATTTTATGCAGCCATGAAGAAGAACGAAATGTTATCATTCGCTGGTAAATGGATGGAATTGGAGAACATCATTCTGAGTGAGGTTAGCCTGGCAAAAGACCAAAAATCGTATGTTCTCCCTCATATGTGGACATTAGATCAAGGGCAAACACAACAAGGGGATTGGACTTGAGCACATGATAAAAGCGAGAGCACACAAGGGAGGGGTGAGGATAGGTAAGACACCTAAAAAACTAGCTAGCATTTGTTGCCCTTAACGCAGAGAAACTAAAGCAGATACCTTAAAGCAACTGAGGCCAATAGGAAAAGGGGACAGGAACTAGAGAAAAGGTTAGATCAAAAAGAATTAACCTAGAAGGTAACACCCACGCACAGGAAATCAATGTGAGTCAATGCCCTGTATAGCTATCCTTATCTCAACCAGCAAAAACCCTTGTTCCTTCCTATTATTACTTATACTCTCTCTACAACAAAATTAGAAATAAGGGCAAAATAGTGTCTGCTGGGTATTGGGGGGGGAGAGGGAGGGGGTGGGGGCAGGGGGGAGAAATGAACCAAGCCTTGTATGCACATATGAATAATAAAAGAAAAATGAAAAAAAAAAAAGAAGTGTGAAAGCAATACAAGATGATCTCATGATCTCTCTCTCTCTCTCTCCTCCCCCGTCTCTCTGTCTCCCTGTCTCTCTCCATCTCTCTGTCTCCCTGTCTCTTTCTGTCTCCCTGTCTCTCTCTCTTTCTCTCTGTCTCTCTCTCTCTCTCTCTGTCACACCCTCCCCCCCGCACACACACAGTACCACTACCACCACTACCCCATGGTCTGTGTTTTTGCACTCGTTATTTGCCTATAAATGTCCTAATCTTTAGAACTGGATCTACCCACCTGCTCCCCACACACCCCAGTAACCCAAATCCAGCCCAGCAGATGGCCTCAGTTTCCTCCCTCTCTCCCCCACCCCAAAGGAAAAGAACAGTAGAGACTTGCTGGACTTTCACACACGGCAAAAAGTATCTGAGCTTCCTGCTTCTATACCAGGGTCAACTCTCATTGTAAAACAGAGGTGTCCTGAAACAGTTGCTGCTATTTAAAACTTGACAAGGACCTCAGTAGTAAACCTTTTGCTAATGAGCTTTTAAAGAAAGTTATGCCAATGCATTGATCTCTTAATACCCAGATAAATCTCGGTAGCCTTACAGATAAACACAGCAGTGACTTCTGTTTTCCTTTAGCCTAGTATCATTTTCAAATACAATTTTTAAATTATTTATCATCTTAAACATTAAGAATATGTGAAAATTGGGGGTTAGGGGTATAGCTCAGTCATATATCAATCCCCAGCACCAAAAGGAAAAGAGTAACAATAGACATGTAAAAGTCACTTAGGAAGCCAAAATTAAGATAAAATCAAACAAATGACCACAGGATATTGAGAATTCAGAGAAACAGATATGCACACAAATGTAAAGTGAATTAATTCAAGTTTAAATTTGAACTTATCTTAAAATTTCAAGTTGAATTTTCAAAGTCATATCAAACACAATAGGTCAGGGAACTATGGAACTATTTATCTTCAGGATTAAATTCACTAATTTTAAATTAAGAAGCAAATTGAGCATTTGAAAAAGCAAAACAAGGATCTCTTTCTAACCTCAACAGGGAAAAAGCAAAAAGTGCCTCATGTGGACAAGCTGGTGTAGCTTTTCATTTTTAGTTGGCTAAAATTACTAGTTTGTTTTAATAACTACTTTTTCTCCTTACTAAATATACAAGAGGCTTAATATAGAAATTGTAGAAAAGACAATTAAGCAGAATAAAATACAGTACAAACCATCTAAGTACTACTATAGAGATAGCTACTGTTTTAACCAACCTCATTTCACACCTAAATTTAAAAAATAAACAAAGCTATAATTTAAAATAAAACTACATACCTGTTTTTGAACACAAACTATTGCTTTAATTTTCAGTAACTCACAGAGCTTGTTTCATAATATATACCAAATAAATGCACAAAGCTATCCAAACTATATTAGCTCTTTCTTTTTCAACTTTTAAGTACCTACTGATTTCAGTGATAACTTCTGCTGTCTTTCAGATGAAAAAACAAAAATACTAAAAAAACTAAAGGCAGTTCCTTTCTTAAATTCATGCTTCAATTTTCTTTCTTACATCAGATAATGAAATTGATAGCTATAAAATTAATCAGAAATATAACAATTTGTCCTTAATATGTACAAAAAGCACATCTTCTTAACAGGAAACCCCTTTTCTGTATGTTAAGTTCAAAATATATTGCAGTCACCAAACTTCAAAAACACAGTTGATATGGAGAACTGGTTATACTGAATATAAATTGAATGTTAAGCATCATTTAAATTGACAATCAAATAAAATTCACCCAGTTACTAGTGACTAATCAGTTGGACTCTATCCAATGGCTCTTATATGGGAAGAAAGGTTTAGCTTCATATTTAAATTTTTAAATTAAACTAGAGCAATTTGTTATTCACATGTTTTTCATGTATCAGGGTACCTAGACCTTATAGTGTACATTTTGCAAATCAGCTAAACCACTGATTAAACTTCAAAACTGTTAAATAAATAACTTCTTGCTAAACCAGACCCCTTTTTATACTAGATTCTGTTATCAATTGAGTATTCCTTATCTAAAATGCTTGGACCAAAATGTTTTAGATTTCAGATTTTTTTTTAAGATTTAGGAATATTTGCATACTTATAATGAGATATTTTGGGGATGTGATCTAAGCATTGACACAAAATTCATTTATGTTTCACATATACCTTATACACACAGCCTGAAAGTAATTTTACCCAATATTCTTACTAATTGTGTGTAATTCATGCTGTAGAATTTTCTAGTTGTGGTATGTTGGCATTGAGAAAGTTGCAAATTTTAGAGCATTTTGGATTGCAAATATTTGGATTGAAATGTTCAATAGTTATATAGATATATAATTATATAATATATATTTTTTTAATATATGAGAAAACAAGGGTGGGAATGGGGAACCAGTTTTTGGCTTTAGTAGCAAAAATCCTCAGTTTGGGATATACACTTCAGAATAGCTTGAGAGTCATTAAACTAGAACACATTTATAAGTACAATTTAAATTAGCTCTTTTAATAACTTTTATAGCATTTAATCTTTTAAAGCATCAGATATATTTTTTTGGAGGGGCATCAGATCTTTTAATGCCTTTTTAACATTTTGGAATACCTGAGTTATCTACCATCTCTAGTTTGCTTTTGCCTTCTGCCTTTGAAAAACACAGACTTGGCTCAGTTGAATAGCAGCCTAGGGTCACCAGGGCCCTTATGGAATTTTTGAACTGATGCATCTAGCCAGGCCTCCATGTAATCTATCATTTAAGATCCAGGTTGTGGCTCAACTGGTAGAATGCCTGCTGGCAAGCATAGAAAAAGATCACATTTGTCTGTGCCTCCACCCTTGATTTCCCCAAATTCTCAAATCTTCACTGACCTTGATGTTCTGAACTTTGGTAGCTCTCATCCTGGAAGACCATTACACAATCTTGCCTGGTTTGGTAATCATTTATATCACCCCTACTTCTCCAACCAATGAGCATCACCCTGAGGGATGACTGACATACTTTATTTCTTTTCTGTGCCAAACAAGTACAATGCTGAACAAAGAATGCAACCAATACTTATCCAGACTTTAATTGATTCACTGTCTTCTATGAGATTTCTGGGATTTTATTTCAATATTCCTTGATAGGGAATAATATAATTCCTTCAACTAAAAAGGTAGTATTCTTTACTTCACAAAACTTTGTGTGTTCTTTACCTTCCAGTTCATTTTTAACACTTAGCCAGGCTGGCGTGTCAGGTGTCAGAGGCATGCTCTAAGTTATGGAGATCATGTGCAATGACAGAAAGTCAGTCCAGGGATTGGAGCAACCAAAGTGCCCAACACTGAAAGTGACCACAGAGGCAGCAAGAAGGAATACAAGCCAGCAGGCTGGATGTTTTGAAGAATACTTAGTTCAGGCAGCTTTGAAGATGTTTGCTTGCTTGCTTGCTCGCTCTCTCTCCCTTCTTTCTTTCTTCCTTTCTTTCTGTTTTTACAAAATATGCTAAAGGATATCGTCCTATCTACCTGCTTTATATGGTAAATTTTTATGAAAAAAATCACAGTTTGCATCTATTTTTTACTTTGTAAATTGGCTATGTCACAACATTATTTTAAAAACTCTCAGAACAATCTTTATATTCAAATTATAAACTCAATTTTTGTAATAAGGAGGAGACTCAAGGAAAAAAACAAGAAATCACAATTTTTAGCTTACCATACTTTGGGGAAAATGTGAAGTAATTCAGATGACAAATATTAAAGGCTTCAATTCTAACATCTTTCCAGATTCCCTGGGTAGGAAAAGACGGCCCCCAATCCCAACTAAAGGAACACTGCTCCTATAATTCCAAGGGGGAAAGAAGATACATTGGATTACTCTGAAATTTAAGCATTATGAAGAATACTTAAGTATTATGCATGCACGTTGATCAGTTTATTAAAGTTGCCATAACAAAATACCACATACTGGGTGGTTTAGGAAATTAAATTTATTTTCTCGTAGTCTGGATGCCAGAAGTCCCAGACCAAGGTGTCGGCAAGTGACTCTTGTGAGGCTTCTCTTTCCTTGGCTTGGAGATGGTCCCTTTCCTGCTGGTCTTTTCTGTGTCAGCATCCCTGGTGCCTCCCTCTTCTTACAAAGTGTATTGGATTAGGGCTCACCCTGACCACCTCATTTTAACTTAATTATCTTTATAAAGATTATCTCCAAATACAATTACTTTCTAAAATATGGGGGGATTACAACTTCAACATGTGAATTTTGGGAACAGAATTCAGCCCGTAACTCTGTGTGTGTGCGTGTGTGTTCAGCCTCTGTGTTGGCCCAAATTATCCCCTTCTGGTGTTCATTCCCTTGTATGCTCCCCTCCCTTGAGTATGAACTAGATATAGAGAATCACATCCAACCAAGAGAATATAGCAGAGGTGACATCACTTCCAAAATTAGATTATAAAAGACTGAGTTCTGTTTTGGGCACTCTCTTGTGCTCTCTTTTGGCCAAGGGGCAAGCCAGCTGCTGTGTCCGGGAACAGCACTGTGGAGAGGCCCACATGAGTAAGCTGGGAAGCTGATCTGGGTTCTGCCAATAAGCATGAATGAGCTCCAAAACACCCTTCAGCCTTAGTCAAAGCAGTGGGGACTGAGCCCAGATGGCAGCTTGACTGTAACCTCACGAGAGACCTTGAGCCAGAGGCACCTAGCTAAGCCGCACTCAGATTCCCGACTAAAACTTATGACAACAAATATGTGTGTGAGCTAAAAAGCTTGAGTGCAGTTTGCTACACATAACAGATAATTATTATAATAACCAAAATAACCCAAACAACATACTAAATTTGGTAAAAATGGTCTAACAACATAAAATCAAACTATTAAGCATTTTACATTTATTCTTCAAAACATATTACATTGAAATAACATAATATATTACTTCTTTTATATATTAGCTCTTAGTACATAGTCCAGGCTAGCCTTGAACTTGCAACTCTCCAGCCTCAGCTTCTTAAATGCTGGGATTATAGATGTGAACAACTATACCTGGCTAAAAGTTATTAAGTTTCTCCAAAATATCTCTGGACCTAAACACTGTATTAAATATAACTATAAAGAATGGGGAACTATATTGAAAAATAAAGATATTATGAACAAGTTTTTAAAAAATTCTAGCTAGACTTGTCACCCTATTTTTTAAAATTTTTTAAATTTTTTTGGTGGGACTGGGGTTTGAACTCAGGACTTCACACTTGCAAAACAGGCCCTCTCCTGCTTTAGCCACACTTCTAGTCCACTTTGCTCTGGTTATTTTTTGGAGATGGTATCTAGCTAACTATTTGCCTGGATCTCAACCTTCCAAGTAACTAGGAGACAGGTATAACCTTCAGGATGAATTCAGAAGTCCTTGTTTCTGAACACAGAGCCCAAAATCTTTCAGTTCAAACTTCAGACACTGACACAGGTGGCAGATATTTTAGCAGTCTTACTGGCTTGCATACCTGCCTGAGGAATCATGATACTCAGTTTCCATATTACAAAGTTACAAAGGTTCAAATTCAAAAGTAGGAAAGGGTTCTCCTAAGATTATCACAAGCAAAATTCTTCTAATTTCTTTTTTAAATTTAAAAAATTTTTTTTATGTTATCACTTTTACATTTATTTACATGTGTATACATTGTTTGGGTCACCTTCCCCCACCCCACTCCCCTACTCCTGCCCTCTCCCTCCCTTCCAGGCAGAATCTGTTCCACCCTCTTGTCTTTTTTTGAAGAGATAAGAAAGACAGCACTTTTGCTAGTTTGAGATAAAGATACAGAGAGTTTCCCAGCATTGTTAACTTCTTAAGAGAAAAAAATTATTTTCAAAAACAGTTAACTATGAGGCTATGCATTCATCTTTTAAACAAGAGTAAGCACCAGAGGCATTCTTACAGCACAAGAATTTGCCTAAACCCTGTATCTACGGTAAAGATGAATTTGATTCCACTATCGAGAAACACACATACTAAAGCAGCTTTATAGCATTTACATGTGCCTAAATTCATGACTTAAGTATCACATTATCATATTTGAGATGAAAACCATTGTGGAGACATTTATAGGAGACTTTGTAAGTATACATGCATAATTCTTTTATTGTTAATAGGGAGAAGGAGCAGAGTAAAATATTTAACAAAATAATTTTAAGTTCTACAAAGGAAATAGACATGGAACATTTAGCCAGAGGTTAGGAAATGGAGGTGCCAAGACATGTTTTTAAAAAAAAAAAATTGACGTTTTTTGAAGACCTAAAGGGTGAGTGCCATTTATCCACCAAAATTAGAAGGAAGAGAAATACAAGCATTTCTTGTGCAAAGACCACATGCAAAAGTCTGGAGGTGCAAGATAACATGCTGTATTCCAGGAGATGAAGAGAAGGGTGAGAAGGTGAGGAGGAGACTGGAGAAGAGGGCACGTGGGCAGACAGAGCTAAGAACTATGGACTTCAACCTATGGGAGATCAGAAGCTGTTGAGTTTTAAGAAGACAAGTGTTGTGATCATTTTCCTTTGAATAGACCATTCTAACTGCTTTGTGGACAGTTCAATGGAGGAGGCAAGTAAAGTTGTAGGATTGACAGGTGACTAGAGCAGTATTTCATGCAAGAAATGACTGAACTCAAGACACAGTAGTAGAAATGGAGCATGCTTAGATTCAAGAGCAACTGAAGAGATAACATTCACATCATCAAAACGACTTGGTAATGGGTTGGAGGAGGGAAAAGAGAGAGAGGGAGGTATGAAGAATAACTCCTTGGTTTCTGGCTCAAGCAACTATTACAGATAGCTTTCTATCCAATAAAATGGAAGAAGGGTTTAGATCACAAGTGCAGTGCTAGACATTCTGAGCTTTAAGTTCCTGTCAATCAGGCAAATGACAATGTCAAATAGGATTTGAGAATAAGGTCTGGAACTGAAGAGAGGTAGGGCCTAAGATATAATATTGGGCATTACTGGCAAGTCAATTGTTTACTACAGAAATGAAGGGAAATGAGGTAGGCTAGCAAGGGTACAAAAGCAGGGGAGAAAGTACATGAAGTGCAGAGAGAGTTGAATAACTTTTTGGGGGGTGGTACTGGGGCTTGATCTCAGGACCTTGTGCTTACCAGGCAAGTGTTCTACCACTTCATCCATACCCCTAGCTGGAATAATATAACTTTTAAGAGAAGGAGAATGTGGACACACAGACTTAGAAGGAAGTGGAAAGCAAAGAGGATGGTGTCAAACACTGTGTTGTGCTTTGAAAACAACATGTTCCACCAAAACTCATGTGTTGAAATTTGGTCCCCAATGCAATGTTTAGAGATGAGACTTTGGGGAAGTGATTGGATCATGAGGACTCAGACTAATCAATGGATTCACCCACCCATTAATGGATTCATAATTTGATGCAATTACTGTGACGTGGTGGGAACCAGGAGGTGGTGCCTAGTTGGAGAAAGTTGGTCACTGGGGGTGTACCCGTAAAGGGTATACCTTGTTCCCAGTTCCTTTCTCTGTCTCTCTGCTTCCTGGCCGCCATGAGGTGAATAGCTTTGCTCCACTACACCCTTCCACCATGATGTACAACTGCTTCACTGCAGGCCCAGAAACAATGGAGCCAGTGTCCAAGGACCGTACCAAAATAAATCTTTCCTCCCTTAAGTTGTTTACTTCCCTTAAGTCACAGAGATGAAAAGTTACTAACACACAATGGAAAGGGGGAGTTGAAAAGACAGAGGCCATCATCTAAGCTGGACAGAGAAGGAAGCAGAAAGAAGCAAGAGGGAATTTACATTGATATGGAGAAAGTAGAAAGAAGTAATGGGTGAAGGTGAGTAACATTTTGTTCTTAAAAACTACATGTCACAATGAATCATGCATTAGAATAAATTTAAGTCCCATGCTGGAATGAAACTCAAAGAAAAATAATTACCTTTGTGGATTGTATCTTTTGTTAGATTTTATAAGAAACTAGCAATAAAATATGAGAACACGTCAACTGATATACTATCTTTGCAGAAAGCTGCCAAGTCACAAAAATCATTAATAAATTTTCACATCTGGTGAAAAGTTTGATAAATCTAAATGACAAAAATAATTTATAGCTATATTATTAGCCACATATTTTTTCTTCCTTGTTGCATAATTTCTGAGACATGCTACAGGAAGGAAACTTAGACAATTCAAACACAATGGATTTTACTCAGCCATGAAGAAGAATGAAATCTTATCATTTGCAGGTAAATAGATGGAACTGGAGAACATCATTCTGAGCGAGGTTAGCCAGGCTCAGAAGACCAAAAATCGTATGTTCTCTCTCATATGCAGACTTTAGATCTAGGGCAAATGCAGAAATGTAGTTGGACTTGTATCATATGGCAAGGGAGAGCACATTCAGGAGATATAGGAATAGGTAGAAAACCCAAAACATGAAAGCGTTTGATGTCCGCACTCCAGAGGAAGTAATACAGAAACCTTAAAGTGACAGAGGTTAACATGAGAAGGGGATCAGGAACCAGTGTAAAGATCAGTTAGAGATGAATCAACATGGCTTGTAACACATTTGTACATGGAAGCAATGCTAGGAATCTCTCTGTATAGCTATCCTTAACTCAACTAGCAAAAACACTTTGTCTTCCTTATTATGCTTATGTCTTTTCTTCAACAAAATTAGAGATAAGGGCAGAACAGGTTCTGCCTGGAAGTGAGGTGGGGGGGAGAGGGGGAGAGGGTGGAGGAGGGAGGATTGAGGGAGAAATGACCCAAACAATGTATGCACATGTGAATAAATGAACAATAAAAAAAAAGTTGAAGATCCTCCACAAAAATCCAGATCATCTTTTGGTTTTTATTTCATTTTCAAGTCCCACTGAGGGATCAGGAGATTCTGAAGCCTTCAATCAAACATTTCATATGCTGACACATGTCATCCCAGAGCTAAGCCCCATCCATTCGAGAGAGCATTACCTTCCGGATAAAGTTGACATGGCATTCACCCTTCTGCACAGGTGGAGGGCAATTTGGAGGCACCTCGTAGCGAGTGTGAGCTTTGCTCTGCTGTGCTGCGTATGACACTGCTGACTGGAAATGCAGCTCAATGGAGTTGACATCTCTGATGATACTAGTAATATCAAAGCTCTGAGTTAAAGGGAGAGAAGAGACAAACCCATGATGTGGAAGTGGTCTTGTGTATAAAATTTTAGATAAAGACAGAATGTATGAAAGATGCATAAAATAATTCAAATCTAGGATTAAACTCATTGGCAGGAAGCACCTCTCCAAAATAGTGTAGTCTAAGTTAGTTGACCATTTTTAGATATAACTAAGCATATCTTTCTATCGAAGCAAAGATTTCTAAGTTTCTCCTGTTTTTGCTGACAGGATCATGGTTCCAGGGAAACAGAGCAGAAAATATCTTTAGCCCTGGAATGTCTGCTCCAGCTATTTGCACTTGGTTTGAACTGCCAAGAATTCCTAGACGCTACATGACAACCTGACTCTCTGGAATGCATAGCATGTCTTTCTAAGTCATAAGTTATTTTCGTTTGGAAAAATTATCCTTGCTGGGTGTGGTGGTACATGGCTATAATTCCAGCACTAGGGAGGCTTAAGCAGGAGGATGGAGAGTTTGAGGCTAGCCTGGGCTACCTAACAATATAATATCCTTTTTCAAAAAAAAAAAAAAAGGAAGAAATAAGAGTGTACCATTGAAAGGGAAGGGAGATAAGGATATAATCTTGATGTAATATTCTAGAAGGAAAACATTTTCTTTTGAACTCATTTGCCAATCGTCACTTCCCATGAAATTCTAGATCATCAGACAACAGAGAAGTGAACACCAAGATCAAACACTTCATACATGCCAAGAACTTGTCAACTCTCTCATATTATTTGCTTATTAAAACCCTACGATAACTTCACAGGACTCATAGTATTCCCATTGTTCTACAGGTGTGCCAACTGAGAAACACAATAACTTACCCAGTGCTTCAAACACCTGGTACTTGTCTTGTGGCCAACTATGCAGTTATTTTTCTTTACTCACAAGAACACAAACATGCATGGGTTGTTTTTTAATCACCTGATGTCATTATCTACTTACATATCTGATAAACATGTTGTCTGTTTTCCCAATAGTGACATTATTGAACAGGATGCTCGAAACTGTATCAACTCCTTCAAAAATCAAATTTACTTTTTGCCATTTGCTAAAAAAAATTAAAACAAGATGTGTAAGACATTAACTTAAATAAGTCTTTTTGTAATTAGTTAAGAACTAAAGAAATAAATGTTTCACAGAAAATATACATTCTTAAATGGCAGTTTCTAATAAAGGTTTCAGGAGTACTGGTTTCATAAATGTTTTTGTTCTTCCTTGATCTGGCTTATCTTTCTCAATAATGTACCAATCATAAGGAAATCAAAAGTACAACTTCTAATTTCAAAATACCTTGGTTATTTTTTTAGTTACTTCACAAAGTACTTATGACGACTAAGTTAAGTAGTAAACCCAAAATGTTTTCAAAACAATTAGATTAGCTAGGCACCAGTGGTTCACACCTGTAATCCTAGCTGCTTGGGAAGTTAACCTGGGGAGGACTGAAGTTCCAGGCCAGCTCTGGCGTAAAAGTTTACAAGACCCCATCTCAACAGAAAAGGCTGGACATGATGGCACACACCTGTCTTCCCAGCTACTACTGGGAGAATTGTCGTCCAGGCCACCTGAGTAAAAAGCGAGACCCTATCTCAAAAAGTAACCAGATCAAAAAGGGCTGAAGGCATGGCTCAAGTGGGACTAACAAGTGTAAAGCCCTGAATTCAAACCCCAGTACCACTAATATACTCTGTGTGTATTTGTACACATATACATATACATTAGATTTACTGACACTATCTGAGAGAACACATCTACCACTAACTAATACCTATGAGTGAAAATTGTGCACCCGGTACTCTCATAAGTCTTATAGGGAGCAGTCTCTGAATTTCAAGAGTCTGCAATCTGGTGGCATTCAAGCCTAATACACAGGAAACAAGGAGAAACCTTTTAATCAGTCTATCCTTTGATAGCTTTTAATGGACAACCACAAGGTTATCAGAATTTATGTTATAAGGAAAGACTTCAAGAGGGAAGCAAGAACTTAAAAGAGAGAATGAATAAAACGTGGTATAACCATGCAACAAACTATTATACAGCAATAAAAAGGAATTAAATACTGTTACATGCTACAACGGTGATGAACTTTGAGGCAATTATTATCCTAAGCAAAAGAGCCTCATCATAAAGGACCACGTACATTACGAGTCAGTGTGTATGAGCTTTCTAGAACAGATGAGTCCATAGAGACCGAAAGTAAGTGGCTGCCTAGGGCTCAGGCAGAGATGGAGGAAGGGAGAGTGGACAGTGACTGCTAATGGGTATGGCTTTCTTTTGAGAATGAGGAAAATGTTCTAAAATTGATTGTGGTGATGGTTGTACAACTCTGTGAATATACTAAAACCACTGAGTTGTACTTAAAATGAATTACTTTTAATTCAATTTATGTGTATATCAATGAAGTTATTTTATTTTTTAAAAAATAGGGAGAAATGCCTAGGCAAAGGGGAAACTCTCAGAGAAAGTGCTAACAGCATCAATTACTTTAAAGTCAAAGACTTGATTCAAACATAATTTGGGCTAGGAGCTCAAGGGGAGAAACCTAGACAAGTAGGCGGAGGGCGGACGCAGGTAGTGTTACAGAGACAGGCAACATTCTTCAGAAGCATTTTTGCAGATAAGCAGAGAAGTTAGTACTTGATTTGTCAAGAAAAAGATACTTCATATTCTTGGGCAAAAATATGTCAGGTAAAATTAACATTTAGAGAAGAGAAGTCTACTGTTTCTGTGTAGGAAAGATTGGAGAATAAATAGATAAAGCAAAATATTTAACTAGGTTGCTCTGATCTTTCACTAGGTGCTCACCTTATAGGTGCAGTTGGAAACTTGAAAATAAGGAGATGGGGGCTCAACTAAGAGAAATGTTAAGCAAAAATTAATAAGATTTAGAAATAACTGAATACAAGGTGACAAAGAAAGAATGTAACAAGCCAAAAACACCTTAGGCACCAAAGATTGGGAAATAGTGCTACAGTAAAAGAAACAATGAGGCTTCTAGGACTTAAATTTTAAGAGTAAAGTCAGTTGGTTGACTTTTGGATATGTTAAGCTCAAAGTGAAAAAAAGACTCTTGTGGGAGATATTTTAAGTATAGATGATACTTAAAATAAGTACTTAAAATAAGATAGTAATAAAAGCCAGAAGCAGAGTAACTCCACGACATTGAGCGCAATCTTCTGACATTATTTATTTAAAGAGACTAGTAAATATTACTAGTAACTACTAGTAAAAAATCATATAAAAGAGACAGAAGAATTTTTAAATGTAATAATAATGGCGGCATATATTCTTGGATTACATTCTGCTTCTTATAGAAACGTGCTTATAATAACATAGAACATGACTGAAAGAACCATTCCTTCTCATAGCTTTGTGATAAAGTATAAGGCCAAAGTCATAGTCTCAATGGCTGGTTAGCACCACATAGGACAAATGATGCATCTTTGATCTTACTTAACAATAGTATAAATTAGTATAAATAGTATATCCTCCTGGTTCCTGGGGTGAGAGAGAGGAAGAAAACTGCATGGAGAATTGACTGGGTCCAAGTAACAGCATCATAACCACTTGGAAAAATGATTCCATAAGACACAATTTCATGACTGATAATCACAATTCTCACACATGAAACAAAACATAAATCATACATTCACTTTTACAATACAAGGCTTTCATCTGACCTAACTCTCAGATATGTAATCTAAACAAACAAAACTAAAGCAAAAGAAAAGCTCAAATAATAATAAGTATAGTATGTGCAAACATATACATACCTAATATTTAAAGGAGTTTTAAATTCTATGCTATAGGTCCAGTTATCTAAGGAAATCCATCTGTAGTTAAGGTCATTAAATCTGTAGTAAGGATCCTGTTGATATAAAGTAAAAATTATGGTAAGCAGCTAAATATGCAACAATAAGTCCATAAAATAAATTACTAACAGTAGCTATTGATCACCTAAAAATCAGTGAACTCTTGGCATAGCAGTATAAAGAGGTCAGTTAGATCATTAGCACAAAAAATGTGGGGGGTAGGAGCTGTGGGTATAGCCCAGTGGCAGAGCACTTGCCTAGCACACAAGGAGGCCCTGAGTTTGGTCCCCAATACCACAAAACAAAAATAAAAATATGCAGGGAAAATTCCAACAAAATAGCTAAAATGAAAGAGTTCTGAGAATAACCAATATAGTTTCATTAGCAAAGAACGTGTGGAGATTAAGATTGGCTGCCTTTGTTAAAACCAGACACAGAGTCTCAAGATTATTGGCAGAGAATGGAAGGCAGAAGTGGTTGTACCCATCTGTCATGGCCCTGTATTTCTTTTCATGTTGCACTCTCTACTACCCCAGCTGGCCTCTAGGGGGAATAATTCTCCTTTACTATTTTAGCCTTTCCAAAGTTATTTTTCACTTGGCTTCACTAAAGCACAGAAAAGATCTTTGTAGAGAATACACAGGCAGCACACATACTTCAGTGCTTACAAACATCAGGTTTCCTGTATTACCTTACACCAGGTCAGCAAACTGTAATCCACAGGCCAAATGCAGCTCACTGCCTGTTTTTGTGTGACCAGTGAGCTAAGAATGACCATGTACTCATAAGTAAAATTTTTCATGCCACCATGGCAGAGTTGAGTAGACATGACAGAGACCAGATGCCCCCAAAGCCTAACATGTTTAGTATCTACCCCTTTACGAGAAATGTCAGCCACCCTGCCATGGATGACTGGCTACCTAGGCATTTACAGATCTTGTTCCATTTGAGTGTACAGCCTCAAGTCCTCCCTTTAAACATCCCCAGGTCTTTCTTCTCCTACCCATTTTCTACCCTTTACCTTTCACAGAAGGGCTACCAGGCAGGATGCAGAATGGAATGCAGTAGTGAAGCTTTCTGGTTCATCTGTGAACATCTCTATGGCTGCAGAGAAAGAAACAATGCAGACCTAGAGGAGTTTCCTCCTCCTTGCAGCACAGGGACAAGGGTTACTTCCTTAGGGACTGCAACTCCCCATGGAGAAGCAAATGCCAGCCTCTAAGTTCCAAAGAGGTAAGCTAGATCAGCAACTTAAGCTGGCAATGTCCAGCAGTGGGCTGGGTCACCAGCCCATAAGAGACACTACTGTATCATCAGGGTGTATTATGATCAAGAAAGCTATCTGTCACATACTGCTCCTTATGTGAAGAAAGACTGTGATAAGCTACCAGAAGAGGAAGTAATTGGTGAAATTTAATAACAACGGATAATCACCAAACTTAAATTCTAGTTGATGGTAAGGTTTTGTTCTGTTAAATGGTGTCACCAGACCCAGTCAACTTGCCTGTTTCTGCTCTGCCCACACACAGAACTCAGCCTGGAATAAATATTTAAGGATACAGGCTTGAAGAAGGATGTAATTATTAGCTTGACCAAGCATCTCCACTCAGCCCTATTTATAACTTTACACTGTGGACTTAGTTCAATACAGTTAAAAATACCATAACAAGGAAAGTGTGAGGACAACTCAGCCACAACACTTCAACTCACCAAGCCTGGGGCTGGCTGGCCATCTGGGCTACCAGAGCTCGAGTCCCCTTCCTGTCTCCCAGCTACTTGCGGGAAGCTGTGTGCTGAGTTTAAGGAAGCAATCTTCCTTTACATAAACAGAATTTACAGGTTAAAAATTTTTTCTGACTTAAAAGGACCCAATCTGAGAAATCTTCATTACCATCTTATTCCAAATATATGATATTCTGAATGTTCAACAAAAATTATAGGAGACCATGTTTTGGTCTGACTCCCAACAAACAAGACCAAACAAAATGGAGTCACTCATGCTACATGCCACATAATCAAACAAACTTTAAGGACACAGGTAGATTCCCCAATTAGGCCAGTTTCTCCAGAAAAAGAGAAGATTCTTGTCCACCCAATCTGTGTAATAATGAAGTCCTCATTGCTTTAACCCTTGCAAGAAAAGTAACCTAATGTTAACTCATCAGTTTTTCCTGTCTGATGCCTTGTTCTCATCTTAAAACCTACTGTTCTGCCATTGTCTAATGGGAGCTCACATTCTACCTTAAAGAATGGAGGGTGCTCTGGTTCATGAACCTTAACAAAAACTAATTCTATTTTGACTAAATTTGTTGTTATAATTTTGCCTTTCAACATGGACATGACAAAACCATGGAGGCAGTAAGTGGATCAGTAGTTACCAGGAGTTGGGGAAGGAAGGATGAATAGGTGGTGTGCAAAGCATTTTTAGGACAATGAGACTATTCCATGTGATTCTACAGTAGCAGAAATATACCATTACATAATTATCCAATCCATAGACTGTACAACCCAGGCTGTACACCAGTGTAAAGTGTGAACTCTGGGTAATAATGGCATGTCAGTGCTGGTTCCCTGGCCGTAGCAAACATGCCACTCTGGTAGAAGATGTGGACTACAAGAAGACTGTTATGTGCATGAACTCTACTTTCCATTCAATTTTGCCATGAACCTACAACTGTTCTAAAAAACAAAATCTATTCAACTATTTGTTCTTAATAAGGAGAAATGCTGTACCAAAAAAGGTGCAGAGACTTATAATTACTCTAAATGCCAATCAACCAAGTTAATTTGGTTCCAGATTGACCTGAGCCTATTTGAATCATATTAAAATTCTGAGTCCTATTTAAAGCAAACAGCTGCCAGGCACCAGTGGCTCATGCCCTTAATTCTAGCTACTTGGGAGGCTGAGATCAGGAGGATCGTGATTTGAAGCCAGCCTGAGCAAGAAGTTCAAGAGACTCCATCTCCAAAATAATCAGAGCAAAATGGACTAGAGGTGTGGGTCAAGTGGTAGAGTACTTTCTTTGCAAGTGCAAAGCTCTGAGTTCAAACCCCAGTCCCCACCAAAAAACAAATAAATACATAAATAAGTAAAATAATGCAAACAGCAGCTCAGGGTTACTTCTCATGACTGAGGATTCCTGTAAATCACTAAGTAATTAAGTAAGACTAATAATGTCATTATTTGTTGACCATTTACTATAGTATCAGCCTTCAAGGTGAACACTCAGATATTTCTATCTTCATAATAAACATGTACAGTTAATATCATTTTGTAAAGAAACTAAAGGTGAAGTAATTTTTCTGAGGTCCCAAAACTAAGCTGAAGTAATTCAGTAAAGACACCAACTTGTGCAACACAAAGTCTGTGTTCTTTCAACTTCCTCCAGTATCTCCTGCCACATATACTTACATTTTTATGCTGGATGATATCTGCAATGGTAATAGCAATACTAAAGTTACTGCCTGTGATCCTACTGTCAGTCCTATTATTACTCCCATCTACTAACAGTTCAAAGTTCAGAGTCAAATGGCTATTAAATGGTGAAGCACAGACTCAGACCTAAAAAATCTGGCTCAGCAACCACACATTTAATCATTTCCCAGTTCTGGAAGGCATGTCACAAACACCACCAGTAGTTGCAATGTCAGTACTACTTATAAAGCAAAAACCATGAGATGTGTCACCTGTGTGCCTGAGTTAGTTTTGTATAGCTGATACCCTATTTACCTACATCAACAAACCATGTGCCGTCAGAGCACACAGGACCGGTCTCATTTTCTCAGTAAACTTCTGGGCTACTTTCATTACCTTTTAGTATAGACAGACTACATCAGCAGGTGGAGTTTTTTCATCAGCAGGTGAAGTTCTGCTTTACTCCAACACCTGACTTTACCCTGGATATAACTACTTCAGACAGAGTTAAATAGAGAAAGGCTTTATAACTGGTTCATTTTACAGATAAGAAAAGTAGACAATATATCAATTATTATGATACATTGATACTTGGTAAAACCCTAATTTATAAAAAGCAAGAAAATGATCATTCAGAATAGTGGTGCTATAGATTATTTATTTCTTATTTATTTTGGTGGTACTGGGAATTGAATTCAGGGCCTTGTGCTTGCAAGTGCACTGACACTTGAGCCATACCTCCACCTGATTATTTCAGGTTATTTTTTTTGCCCAGGCCAGACTGGAATCACAATCCTCCTACTATGCCTCCCATGTAGCTGGATTACAGATATGTGGTTTATTTGTTGAGATGGAGGTCTCACTAACTTGGCTTTGAACTTCAGTCCTCCTGATCTCTGCCTCCTGAGTAGATGGAATTATAGGCATGAGCCATCAAGCTGAGCATTAATAGTGTGAATCTTAAATGCCTCTGCCAATGTCCATATTGTGCAGTCTTGGTCTCCAGCATGGAAGGGAACTGGTGAACAAGAAGAAAGGAATAGAAGGATATTTGCTTTTGATTACAAATCCTGCATTTAAATATCTTTTTACCATTTACATTTTTTTATCTATTTCTTAGTCATTAAAATTAACTGACCTCTATTTGAAAAAAAGAAAACAATAAGTTAGGTTGATAGCAATAGAAAGGACTAGGAGAAAATACACAACAGATAATATGTATGTACTATGTTTGTAGTATAGTCTTCTACAAATAAAACACTGTATGTTATAAGGTGGTGTAGACTGGCTCTGTGAGATCTAGAACCTAAAAATATAAGAGGTGAGATGAGAAAAAAAAATGTTACCAAGATTCTGGGCTTAGTTCACTAATGAAGTATTTGTGTTTCATTAGAAATAGGCACAACAAGGGCTGGCAGAGTGGCTCAAGTGGTAGAGCGCCTGCCTAGCAAGCGTGAGGCCCTGAGTTCAAATCCCAGTTCTGCCAAAAAAAAATCACTAAAAAGAAATTCATATGCATACCGAAAAATTCAAGCAGTACAGAGAAATAGGCACAACAAGAGTAACTAAGGATTGTGAGGATGGTGATAGAGCTATTTGGATATACTGAGATTCATATGCCACCAGGTAAGAGTGTAGCAA